GTTCTTCAAGTGGATAATTATACCTTACTTTGTGAATTAAAATTCAAAATCTCAGGATATTTATGCACACATTTAAATATGTTTTGCATAAGCACCTTATTTAGCTATATATTTATATATTCATGTCCTGTTCATTTAATTTTCCACATACAAATCTGTCCTTTCTGTCTATTAAAACAATCTATAATATGGTTTCTACTTTTACAATTTTTTTATAAAAATTTTTAATTTTATTGGGAAAATATAAAGAAAAATTCTATAGTCAGTAACAGGTTTAATGTGTTATAATTACATGATTAGAGTTGAAGATTTAACACATAACGAATACATAAAATGTAAAGGAAATGAATAGCATAGTTTATATGCCTTGTTTCAAATTCTATGAGTGTTAAAAATTAAAATAAACTTAAATTTTGTCCATACATTTTCCTAGTGAAAAAATAAGAAGGCTGCCATCCTTTTAGTTATTGCGATAAGGACCATGTTCAACAGCAACAAGGGGAAGAAAGGGGTTAAATTGACCAATTAGCTCAGGTTATAATCCTTTGGGAAATCAGAGTAAGAATTCATGACATTAACCTTGAGGCAGGAGCTGAAGTAGAGGCGGTGGAGGAATGCTGCCTATCTTCTTATACAACCCAAGATCACCTAAACAGGGGTGTCACCACACATATTGAACTGGAACCTCTCACACCTATCATTAATCAATTAAATATCCCCCTCAATTTGCCTACAGACAATCTGATGGAGGGATTTTAATTGAGATTCTGCCTCCCAGATAATTTTTGTTTGTCTAAAGTAAACAAACATAACTGACAAAAAATGTCAATGAAATAATTATTAATGATATTCTGCTATAATCATTGATCACTGCTTAGTCTAATAGTCACCAGAGAGGCTTCTTCCAAAATCTGATGGAAGCAGAGGAAGAGACCCACAGTCAGCCAAACATTAGGCTGAGTTCGCAGACCTCTGAATAAATAGGGAGGGAGGATTATAAGAACCAGAGTAAACACCAAGAGTTCACAGACCACAGAATTAACTGTGCAGAGGCTATTGGGTCTCATAGTGACTGAAGCAGCTACCACAGAGCTTGCATGGGTCTCTGCTGGGCCCTATGCACACATGCTGTGGTTGTTTAAATTGGGGTTTTCCTTGTACTCTTAAAAATGGAAATGGAGTGTTTTTGACTCTTTTGCCTGTTCTCAGAACCCCTTCCGTCCTACATGGTTGCCCTGCAGAGCCTTGATCAAAGGACTTATACCTGGTTTTACTACAACTTGTTATGACAAGTTTGGTTGATATCCCACAGAGGCCTGCTCTGTTCTGTAGGAGAACAGAAGAGTGGTGGATTAGGGGGAAAGGAGATGGGGGAGAACTGAGAAGGTGATAGAGGGGAGAGTACAGAATATAGATAGATAGATGATAGATAGATGATAGATAGATAGATAGATGATAGATAGATAGATAGATGATAGATGATAGATAGATAGATGATAGAAGATAGATAGATAGATAGAGAAAGATAGATGATAGATAGATAGATAGATAGATAGATAGATAGATAGATAGATAGATAGATAGACGATTTTAAATGCAAGAATTTTGATATTACACCCTCTGCACCTATTACTCTTTATCCTTTGGTCCATAGTTATCCTCTCTAAGTAAGAACAGCAGAATACTGAAGGACCTTATTTGTACCTTGAAACTGAACTTTGTTATTTTACTTATATGTTAGTGTAAAATCTTTCTTCCATGAGTTGTTTGGTTCTGTTTCTTATCACATAAATAGAAAATAATACAATCTTAAATTATTTTATAAAATGGCTTCTCAAATTTGTGGGTAAATATGAATAAATCTAACAAAGGAAGGGAAAATTTGCAGAATGAAAACTTCAAGAAGCCATGAAAACACACAAGACAGGAAGACTTCTCATATTATGGATTGTTAGGATAAATATTGTAAAATTCAATTTCAATCTTCTAATAGTAGCTTACATAATCAGTGCACTCAAGATAAAATTTTAACACAATTCAATATAATAAGTGAAAAAACATTACACAAAAAATTATTTGAAAGCATAAAAGACCTAGGATAGCCTAAACCTTCCTGAAAAGTAGGAGGTGGTCAGTGGTATCTCAATCTCAGATTTCAGTTTATACTCCAGAACCAGCACAATAAAAGTATATAACTAGAATCATTTCTAAATGTGAATACATGAATATATATATGTATATACATACACACACAAACACACACACACATATACTGAATTATATATATATATATATATATACATATACTGAATTAAACATTATCCCGTAAATCAAATATATTTATTTTATGTATATTTATTTTTTCTTTTTCTTTTTTTAATTTTTATTTTTCCATTCAATTATTTACACTTACTTCTCTCCTCCCAATCCCCTCCTGCTCCCCCACACCCCCTCCTCCCTCTCCCACCCTACTTGAGAGAGGGCCGGGAATCCTGCTCTGTGGAAAGTCCAAGGCCCTGCCCAGTACATTCAGGCCTAGGAAGCTCTGCATCCATATAGACTAGGGTCCCAAAAAGCCAGAATATGCCGTAAAAACAAGTCTCAGTGCCTTTATCAATAGCTTCTCAGTCAGCCCCCATTGTCAGCCACAATCAGAGAGTTCGGTTTGATCACATGCTCATTCAGACCCGAACCTGGGAAAAACCTAGATACCCCTCAATGGATGAATGGATAAAGAAAGTGTGGAATATATACACATTAGAGTACTACTCAAAGGTAAAAAGCAATGACATCTTGAATTTTGCATGCAAATGGATGGAAATAGAAAACACTATCCTGAGGGAGATAACCCAGACCAAAAAGATGAATTTGGTATGTACTCACTCATTTGTGGACTAGCCATAAACCAAGGTCAACAAGCCCATAGTTCACAAGCCCAGCGAACTCAAATAACAAGGTGAACCCAAAGAAAACCATATATGGATCCTCCTGGAAATTGGAAGCAAACAAGATTGCAGGGCAAAAGCTAATCTTCGTCTGGCGATGGATGGAGATAGAGACAGAGACGCTCATCAAAGCAACATACTGAGCTTCCAAGGTCCAGTTGAAAGGCAGAAGGAGGGAGAAGATGAGCAAGGAAGTCAGGACTGCGAGGGGTTGGTCCACCGACTGAGGCAGTGTGCATGTTCTAATGGGAGCTCACCAAATCCAGCAGGACCGGGTCTGAATGTATATTTATTTGTATTTCATTTCACAGTAATAGTGCTCAATAATATATGACCCATTAGTATAATATTTATGGTACTATCCTCCACAGTTAAAATATAGCAAAGTGAAAACTTTCTACATATTCTCCTAGTTATTTTAAGAGTGGACTATAAGGCTTCATTCTGAAAAATAAGTTCCAAATTTAATTTCAAAGGTGCAATGTAGACAACTAAAGATCAAGTTATAAGTTATGCTGGCAGTTCTGTGAGTTGTGTTCATTATTTGTGCAAAGTCAGCTGCTAGTCTGTCGCTATATTTTGTAAAATCAGCTCTGACAAGCTGTCCTATTCATGGTAATGTAAAATAATAATGAAGAATGTAAGCAAACCAAGAATAGTGCATCAGAAGTCCAACATGTCTCGGCCCAGAAGGATAGAAATATTCACACTGTCAGTTTTAGTGTAATTAGATGATTGCATTCATGTATGTTATTGATTTCCAAAATGATATCAGGTTTAAAATAATAAGAAAATAATATAAAATATAAAACTAAGTAAAAATTTATATATAATAAGATTTTAGTAATATTAACTTTCTCATTGATTTAATAATAAGCATATTTCAAATATTTATCACAAAAAATGATCCTAAGTATCATTTATCATCAGTAAATTTCATAAGATTATTTTAAAAAATATTTTTATCGGTACCTTTTGCTTTTTACATAAAATGTGCCTTTTACATGTGTTAAAATAAAATAGCTACATTTCTATATTTATCTCTATATTAATCTTTCAGATGAATATAACCTTCTAAATATATTTAATCATTCTTTAAGAATTTCATACAGGTGTATAATATATCTAAGTTGAGCAAGGTATCCCTTCAGAAAGACTGGAGAATGTGTTCCAACAAAACAGAATAAGCAGTAGGGATATATCATGTTCTCGACCCACACAGTCTGCCCTAGCCATACATCATTCACCTACACGGAGAGGTTTGGTTCTATGCTGTATCTCTAGCTGTCAGACTGGAGTTGGAAGGCTTCCATTAGCTCAGGTAGACAGATTCAGTGGGTATTCCCATTATGGTCTTGACTTCTTTGTTAGTATTCTCTCTCCTCCCTCTCTTAAACTGAACATTTGGGAGTTCGGCCCAGGGCTCCACTGTGAATCTCTGATTCTGCTTCCATCATCTGGTGGATGAAGGTTCTACAGAGACATTTAAGATAGTCACCAGTCTGACTACAGGACAAGGCCAGTTCAGGCACCCTCTCCATTATTGCTTAGGTTTTTAGCTGGAGTCATAATTGTTGATTCCTGGAAATTTCTCTAGTGCTAGGTTTCTTGCTAGCCCCATAATGTCTCACTCAGTCAAGGTATCTTCTTTCTTTGTTCTCCATCCCTGCCCTTCCCCCATCTAGACAGTCCATTCCCTCTAGTTCTCCTCCCCCTTCCCTTCTCACCTCCTCCTCCCTTTCTACCTTCGCTTCTCCCCGAACCCAATGTTCCCAATGAGGACATCTTGTCTATTTCCTCTTCCCAGAGGTATCTATATATATTTCTCTTAGGGTTCTTCTTGTTACATAGCGTTTCTAGAGTCATAAACTATAGGCTCTTTATCCTTTACTTTACAACTTCAATTTTCTAAGAGCAGCTGGTTTATCAGTGAGACTCCCTTGGAAAAAATTAATTGTTCTTTTGCAAGTGACAACAAACCTCTTTTCAGCATGAAAACTCTCAATATTTTTTTTGTGCTTGTCTTTTGTATCCCTGGAAAGTGTCTTCTCAATAGTGTTGTATGAAAGGAGAGAAGGTTAGCACCTTCCCTAAATATATGAAAGTCTTTTATATAAAATTTTGTAGTACTTAGCCATAAGCTATTTAATTGTCCTATATATTTAAATCCATTTTGCAGTTTTAAATGCATTGCAAATTCTGTGATAGTAATCATACTGGAGATTACTGGGGAATAAAAAAATATTTTCTTTATTCATACAGTAGTGAGAAAGATATTACAGGTATATTTTCATCTTAAGTTCACACTGGCTTTCAAATATTGATTTAGGAATGCATATATATCAAAGCCATTTAAACATCCATGTTCTGAGATCCCAAATGCCATTTAATTTGCTGAAAATTACATTCAAATTGATTTTTTTCTGTCAAAAACTAACATCTATGTTATATCTACTTTGTAGAACAATTTTAGATTCTAGTTTGAAGGGAGTCTTAAATTAAAATTCTGGTAGGAAATATTGAGCCTTTTCTTTTCTAACTTTCTAAATTGTCTATCTCTTCCTACTTCAGAAATACAGATGAGGTAATGGTGGAAAAATGATCCTGCTGCAGTTAAGGATCACATTGATGTCCATCATCCATTTCACCACCAAAGGCTATGTAGATGTTTGTGATCTGTACTATTGCTTGGAACAATGTTGATGTCCGTGGACTGGGCTGCCCCTGGGTACCATGTTGGTGTCTGTGGCATGTGTTGCCCCAGATACAATGTTGATATTCCTGGCCTGTGCTATGGCAGGCCATATTATGTTCATGATCAATACTGATACCAGAGACAATGCTGAGGAAGGAGGATATGTTGATTTATGTGGGCCATGACATTGCCTGGTGAGCCATGTAGATGTGAGTAGCTTATGCTGCCACCTGATGCCATGCTGTTGTCTATAATCTGTGGGACTATTGGGAGCCATGACTGGGTCTGTTGTAAATTTGCAGCTGAGAGTACTTGATGATGCCCATTTCTTGTGTACCACCAAAGGTCATGCAGATATCCATGGTTTGTGCCACCACCATCTCATGCTATGCAGATGTGAATGCTGCCACCTAAAGCCAAGTTAGTGTCTTTGTGCACAGTGTTGTCATTGGGAGCCATGTCTGGGTCAATGGTACTGTTTCATCTGGGGGTCAGGCTGATGTCTGTAGCTCGTGCAACCACTATGGAGGCCATGTAGATACCTGTGTCCTGTGCTCCATCTGAGGAAATGATGTTGTCCACAGGTCAGGGTGCTACCTGGGACCATGTCTGGGTCTATGGCCCTGCTATAGCTAGGGGTCATGGTGATGTCTGCAGCATACATGTAAGGTGGAGACCACGTAGATGTCTATGGTCTAGGAATTCCATGAACCCTGTTCCTGCAGACCGAAAAGGACACGAAAGCTTCTTTTGCAGTGGCATTAGTGAATGAAGACTCAGTTTAGAAAGATTTAAAGACGCCCTCTTGACAATCCCCCCCACCTCACACCTCCCACCAAAGTAACAACCTAGACAGGAAGTCACAGAAGAGAACTTATAAAATTGTAATAAAGCTGTATAGTATAACTCTCCATAGTAAATGGCTGCTGATATGGTGTGGGTGGGAAAGGGCTCACTTTCCATCAAGGGGCTGGCCACTATGAGTTTGACCATGTTCCAGCGACTACATGGGCAGTGGATCAACACAAAGTATATTTTCTCTTAACCTTATTTTTGTATGAAAACCCATAACAGTAAGAAGGCAGACTTGGGAGGACTCAAAAAATAAGGTTGATTGGGGTTTATTGTGTAAACTCAAATGATCCATGAAAATATTACCTACAAAAAAGAGAAAAGAAATAAATAAATAACACCAAAATAGATTTCTGTGTGTTTTTATTCTCAAGATCCTGACATTAAAATAAAATGTTTATCCTATAATGAAACATGATAAATTTAGAAATTATTTCTGCCATGTAAGTTCTATTTTAAATGCAGGTACAATTTAGATGTCAATTTTAAAATTATTACTGTATTTCTAAGCTTTAAGATATGACTTTGAGTGTATTTACTCAATCTATGTGAAACTTAACATGTTTCAGTCACTTCTATCTAGACATGTGTGCCAATTGAAAAAGCAAATTTAGCAAACAACATCAAAAGGTGTTCCCTTTTCCTCTTGGAGCCATTGTATCTTCCCATAATGATTCTGAGCATCTTTCTAGTATCAAAGCTGACTCCCCGCTTGTGAGGTTAGTATTAGATCCAATTAATAGAAGAGTTGATTACTCTCAAATATTCATTCTACTATGAATCAGTGAGCTCATTTTAGCTAGCAGGTCTGAATTGTAGGATAAAGGTTCAAGAACTGGGTAAGTTCATTGAGATCTTTACCCTCCCACACAGCAGTCTTCATAGAGCTTTAACTCGTGTCCTTTGCAATGCAATGGCAGCAAATATGATTACTTCTACCTATTTGCATAAGAACAAGACAGTTCAATATTCCAGCATGGAGGACAGAAAGGCTCAAAAGTTCCTGTACATAGATAACTGATAAACCATGGGGAGCTGATGACCGTTTGGAGAGAAGATATCAGCAGTCTTTCCCAGCACCAGACTCTGCGTGCTACAGTACTGAACTTCTTGACATTATGTATTCACTGACTCAACAGTGAGCTGACTGTTATTGGGATAAACAATCACTTTTTGATTGGATGTAAGTCCTGCTCCATAAGAAAAATTTCATGCATAATATTGTAAACCTACTCAAAAGACCATGATTTATATATATCCCAGGACCTAGAGGAATACTGTTTTTGTTTTGCTAAACAGTTATCAGGGTGATTGGAATAACAAATTTCAGTCAAAGTCATGAATTTTTGATCACATGGCCTCAAGTTAGTGACACTGTTTTGAAAGTTTAGGGTTCAAGTCTGGCTAAAATTTATTACCTGGGCTCTGTGTTGACATGAAATATCATCTACTTCCAGTTTGCTTTCTACTTATTACTTATAGAGAATGATGTGAGCTCTCATTATCCCATCCCAGTCAGCATGCCTGTTTCGTGATGCTCTGACTCCTTTTCATGACACTTTTATCACTATGTAATCAAAATCCCAAATAAACTTTTTTTGTTATATAAGTTGCTTTGCTTTGATCATAGTATTTTACTCAAAACAATGGAAATGTAAAGAGCACAGTCATTCTTTATCTGCATTCTAAATATTTATATTTATTCTCATAGGTATGTGTTGTTCTCAACTTTGGTCAGATTGTGCCAGTTGAATCTACAGCTTGGATAAAGGAGGAACTTACAAGACCCAGTCTTTGACTGAGAAGTTTCTGACACTTGATGACTGCTGAGAAGAGAGAGAGAGAGAGAGAGAGAGAGAGAGAGAGAGAGTCTGCTTTTGGTGTCATGAAAAATTATGGTTGCTGATATAGAAAATGGTCCTTTGGGTGGAAGATGTGGTGGTGATCCTAAATGTAATTTGATGTAGGAGGGCAAGATGGATATGATCTAAACAAATTGTGTAAATGCACTAAATTTTCAAATAATAAATAAAATTATTTTTTAAAGGACATGAAACTAGAAAGCAGATATATTCTGAGGCAGGGATAGAAGCTGGGTGGAGAGAATGGAGGTATATGCAACTAAAGTTCATTGTGTAATTTTAAACAATAAATCACACAAACACATCACAAGTGTGTACACAAACTATGTCTGTCCTAGTGTTTTATTGCTGTGAAGAGATACCATGGCAACAACGACTCTTATAAAGGAAAAAAATCAATTTGAGCTGGCTTACAATTATAGAGGTTTAGTCTGTCATCATCATTTCAAGAAGCATAACAGCATAAGAGAGACATGGTGCTGGAGAAGGAACTGAGAGTTCAATCAAGTACATTTTAATTATTAGGCATAAGAAGACTGTGTGCCATACTAGGTGTTGCTTAAGTATTTAATACCTCAGATAGAGACACTACACTTCCTCCAACCACATCATACCTACTTCAACAAGGCTACATCTCATAATAGTGGCACTCCCTATGGGCCAAGCATTCAAAAAATAAATCTGTGGAGTCATGCCTATTCAAACCATAACCCACTATAAGCTTTGAATTTTATAAAAATGTCTCATTCATCACTAAGTATTCAACTAGATACACTAGATCCATTTTCTATTAATTTTCCCTAATAAAACTGTTTATATTGTCCTCATTATTAATATACTCTAATTAATAGAATATTTCTTCAAAGTAGCACAAAGGAGCATTGGCTGGCATAATTAATAACTTAACAAATGTGCAATAAATATTTAACTAATGTAGAAATGTTTTTAAATACCATTCTGTACCAACAAAAAAATCAATTCTGTAAATATGAATTTAGTCTCATAATTCTTTAAAATGTATTATAGTGTGTAAAGTTTACTTTTTTATATTGTTATCTATTTATAAATAATTATTTGTGATATAATCTTCCATATTTTCTCAGCATTATATAGAAATAGATATCAGGCAGACCATGAAAAAGCTCCTCATATTGATGAATCACATATTAAGGCTTTCTTTAAAGAAACAATAAAAAAGTAATAATAAGACATTCTAAATCACATATTAAAGTTTTCTTTTAAAAACAATAAAAAATAATGATTGGGTAATTTTCCATTAAAAATCTTACCTTGCTTACTTTACTGTTCAGGAGTACACATTTTCATTTCACATAAAAGTGCTCATATCCATGATTTATATTTATCCCCACTTAAAGTATATATGAATGCTAGTGTCATCTTGTTATGGGCAAGAAGCAAAGATGAGTAAACAGGCTTAAGGTTGATATCAGGTGACAAAAAATGTGAAATAGATCAATATGACATCATTTTTAAAATTATAAAGTAGAGTCAGGTGGTGGTGGTGCATACCTTTATATATGTGTGTGTGTATACATACATACATATATATACATAAATATATATATATATATGTGTGTGTGTGTGTGTGTGTGTGTGTGTGTGTGTGTGTGTGGGAAGGAGAATTACCTTAGATTATATTAGGCACTTTTATTATACATTAGAAAATTGTTAAAAAAGATTCAACATATTTTAGCATGGTCTACTAGCAATAATTTTTTAAATGCTACTAATTCATCTTATTTGAAC